TTCACTTTACTTTATTTCTCACTAGCGACTCACCCTCGCTTCGCTCGGGTTTGTCCCTAGGTTGCTTCCCTATACAAACTTTCATCCCCATTTTCACCCCCTTAAAGGATGATTTCCAGGATGAAAACTATCCTACGTCCTTCCCAGGGCTTCAAACTATCTTCTTACCAAATTTCATTTAAATCGGTTTAGTAGTTTCGGAGCTTATTCGATACAAACAAACAAACGAACAAACAAACAAACAAACAAACAAACAAACAAACAAACAAAAAAATCTTTCCTCTTTATAAGAGTCTCTCCCGTGACCATGGATGCTGTAAAGCATTCGAAACGTCGGGAACCAAAAATCAAAATAAATCCGCGAAATAATCCGAAAAGATAGTTTTATTTTAAAAATGTCAAACATTCGCGTAAATCTAAGAAAGTATTAATATGATCATACTTAAAATAACATGTTAGTTTACTATAGTTTGTAGCTTTTTAGGTTTTTGTTGCAAAAATTAAAGTGGAAACTTTTTTAATTTGATCATGTCTGTCTGTGTGTAAGATAATTCTGCAAATTACGAAAAATAAAAAATTGGGGTGTTTATCAACAATTTTTATCAAATGATAGCGAAAGATGGGAAAGAGGGAAGATAAAAAGGGAAGGGTTAGATAGGGGGAGCAATTCGATAAGTGTGAACACGCGATGAGCAAAAATTTTGCTCAATAGTATTTGTCAGACGGTTAAAGCCACTATACGAGTACGAAATAGTGGGATCGATTTCCAGGCTGGTAAAATCGATTATTTTTTCGGTAGTTGCTTAAAGCTACTATTACAATATATATATAAATAGTTACTATATAATAATAAATATAACAAACCTATCTCACGGGAACCGTATATTTTTCCGGAATAAAAAGTAGTCTATGTGCAATTAATTCTACACTTAAGATCTCTGTGCCTCATCCAGATCCGTTCAGCCGTTCTGGCGTAATTGAGTAACAAACATTCACACATCTAAACAGCCTACTAATATTATAAACGCGAAAGTTTGTAAGAATGTATGTAGGGATGTATGTTTGTTACTCTTTCACGCAAAAACTACTGAATGGATTTTGATGAAACTTTGCAATAATATTACTCACACATCAGAATAACACATAAGTTACTTTTTATCCCTGAAAAAAAGCACGGTTCCAGTGGGTTAGATTTGTTTTTGTTTTTCTAGAGGTAAGCCGCTAGTTTGTAATATTAGTATGATGTAGATGATATAAATTAAAAGTCGATAAAAGTTTTATTTACGCAAGCTATGCGTAATAATGCGAATAAAAACAACTCAAATTACCTATATCTAATAGTTGATAAAATCATAACTTTTTTCTATTTATTACGAAATATAAATTTGTAACCTAATATTAATTTAAAATATTATAAAAAATTATGTAAGGGATTTTTTTAAAATAAAAAAAAAATAGATTTTTGCGTTTTTAATTTGATTTTTGGTTCTCAAGGTTTCGAATACACTTTAGAACAACCATAATCATGGGAGAGACTAAGGTCTTTGCCGTCTCCAAAGCTATTAAACAGTATATTAAATAAGAAATCATAACCGATCTATTGTATGTAAATGTGACCTCAAAATCGACCCAGTTTCAAGACAAGATAAAGGACATCTCGCTATTGTTCAATTTATCTTCATTATTTATAAGATTTTCTAATTATACAAGCTTTTACTTATGACTTGGTCTGTATTTTAGTTCTGAATAGTTCAAAAATGACTTCTTCTTATTTAACCGATTTTAAATAAAGGAGGTACGTATGTCTTAAGTATGTTTTATTTACATATGTGTTTACACGATATTCTAGCTAATTTTAAATACTCTTATATAAATATCCTTATAAATATGTATATAAAAATAACTCCTTGTTTAAGATAATTAATAATATATATGTTTAACTTTATTTTCTATACCAAAAGGGGATATTTTAAATTTCCAACCACACCAAATCCACCGAAAACCAACACCCAAATATTTATAAAGTGAGTGAGTTGGTGCATGTTTATGTCAGTGCAAGATAAAAATAAATGAAACATCATCACAGCCGAATTGATTGTAATTAAACTTGAAAAATAACAAATTTAAATTCATTCGATTATTCGTGGAAATTCGATAAAGTACTCATCAGATTAATATAATTGCGGAAGGTTGTTTTTGTATGTATTTTTATTACTGAATGGATTTATTATAAAATTTAGTATACAGATAGACAACTTTTTTTTTTGGGAAATGCATTTACGCATACCACATGCATACATACAGGTGGTTATGCGGAACTAAACAGCTAGAAAAGCTAGTACTACACACTAAACCCAACGGAACCTCCCCTGTCTAATGGGGCGTCGCAGGGTCGCTTACAACAACTTACAACAACCAATAACTCGCATGGCACACCAACCATGGAGGGGAAGGGGAGGGGGGAGGTGGAGGGGGAGGTGGAGGTGGAGGGGGGGTGTCAACAAATAATCTGCGTAGCACCGTAACACATAGGCTACTGTTAGACATTTAGGCAAAGTCCTATTATTTTTAACTAACTTCCAAAAAGGAGGAGGTTCTATAGGTATTCGTCTGTATGTATATTTTTTATTTATTTTTCTTTATATACATCAGAAAATCTGTATCAAAATAAATCATGTAGACATTTGTATAGTACTTAAGTACTTAGTATTTCCTTTGTCAAGGTATTAGTGAGATACTCGTATGATAAGAAATGAATGTAATCATTTTATTATTATTACGAGTATGTTTGGATTTTCTAGCTTATCCGTAATTTGCTTGTAGAGAACACTCTAAGAAAGATTTTATTTACTAAGTAGCTTCTAAATGCTTGTTTCTTTGTATTTAAAACAACCAATACTCTATAAATAAATATCTCGGGACATTAACACATAGCACCATCTAGTTCCATGGTAAGCTACGAGACCTGTGTTATGGATACCAAATAGTTGATACACTACACATATATAACTTTAAATATATACATATTATAAATATAAACACCCATGGCTGAAGTACAAACATTCGTGCTCATCACACAAAATGAATGTCCCCAGCGGGACTCAAACCCGAGACTGCTGGTATAGCAAGTAGGCTCACTAGTCACTACAAACTGAGTCAAACGTGTTGTCGTCTATAATCTCTATTTTATATGGAAACCCATGAATATATATACAAAATACCTTACAATATTTTTAATTTTAAACATTTTTATCAAATATTCTCGTAAATCTAAGTAAGTATTATTGAATCCCATCATAAAATTAAAATTCTACATTCTCATACCAACATTTTAATAATTCATTGATTTCCATTAAACAAATTGATCTTAAATAAACTTTATATTTCATTGCTATATTAGAATATAACAGGATAAAGTTTAGATAAACGTAACTTAAACAAGTTTTAAATTAATATGACTTATATGTTTATATAACAACGTTATTACTATTAATCAGTTGCAAAAAACGAGGAGATTCTTAATCTATAGGTATAATCTATACATATAATACAATTCTAACTTACGAGTAGTCGAATCTATACATTGAATATTTCTTGGAAAATATTATTGAAATAGTCATTATTATCGATACAGAGGTCGAATCTATAGTTTTTAGAATTTTTATCTGCCTGTCTATCTGTCTGTTACCGCATCACAAAAGAAACCATTGGAGGGATTTTGATGAAATTCCGTATGGTGATAGCTGGTTATCCGGGTCGACATATAGAATACTTTTTACCGCGGGAAAATATCTCATTTCTGAGAAAATATACAAAAACTGCAATGTAAGAGTATACTTATAATATTTAAAACCTAAGAATTTGGTTTTTAGTCATCTGAACGCGGGCGGAGCCGCGGGCAATGCTAGCACTAATATATAAAGCTCAAGAGTGTTTGTATTTTTATTTGTTGAAAAAGTTTGTTGAATCACACTAGTTTCTAGTCTTTACAACTATCGATCTGATGAGACAATATTTTAACTTTTATTTTCCACAAAGATATAAAAAGAAAATTATTACAAATGTTGCCAAAATTTCATTGTGCGATTTTTTTTATTTGCTGGTAAATTACAGTGAAATCGGTACTGCCATTATTGAGGGTTAATTATCTTAATTTTAGAATGATATTTAAGTAATATCTCTACTGAAATTAAAACTAGTCAATGCCTACAGCTCTGAACGGATGATTCGGGAATGAAAAGCAGCCTAGGTCTCTATGATGAAATTTATATTTTTTTTTTAATTTTCAAAATCTACTTTGCGGTTGCGTGAAAAATAACAGACAGACATTATTCACTTTTTATTTAAATATCAAAAGTAATAAATATAAGGAAGTTCGTAAAATTCTATGCGCTAGTAAATATTTCTGGCAAAGAATGTTTACTCAGTTCCTTGATTGTACTGTATGGCAGTGAATCATCTTATGTTTATACAATAAATAACTGTTATTCACTATTGGAATTTCTTTTTGTTCATTGTTCTTTTGAAGTATTTTTTTAAACCCTTTATTAAAGTCCCACAGCTGGGCGTGGGCCTCCCTTCAATACGAGGGGGTAGGGCCATATTGGCTTAAGCTGGCCGAGTGCGGGTTGGCGGGCTTTAGATGTCTATCAAAGGTTGACTTTCTAAGTCTTGTTAGGTTCTCTCAGATATGCAGGTTTCCTCACAATTTTTTCTTTACCGTAAGCTAGTGGTAATCATATTGGAAATGATTCGTACACCTAAAATATTAGATTCTTAACCAGCTTCCCTTGATTACGTACGACGTATTACCACTGAATGACATTTGTAGTATACTACATAATAAAAGAATTGTCACTCATATACATCCTTTTTTCTATCGCTTCATGACAAAAAAAAAATTATATATTAATTTTTTAAATATTTTTTTCCAGATAATCATCGACAACAGATAGCGGGTGTAGAAAATTTTGCTCCATTCGTAATGTGAAGATACCAAAATGTTGTTGAACATCTGCAAATCATGTCAGTAGTAAGTATTACCTGCTTTATACTTATTTTAAGACTGCATTTAGCCCGTGGTTTTGCTTATATTATGTCTTACTGCCTAATTTTTGAAATTATGATATTTAGAGATGATATATATGGCTTTTTCTAGAGGAGGAAAAAGAGGAAAGGTTTGTATTTTTGTATGTTTGTAACGAATAAACTCAAAAACTACTGGACCGATTTAGATGAAATTTGGTAAGTATATAGTTTGGAGGCCTGGGAAGGAGTAAGGAAATTATCTCTTAAGAGGGTGAAAATAGAGATGAGAATTTGAATGGGGAAGCAACCTAGCGACAAACAAACAGAGCGGAGCAAGGGTGAGTCGCAAGTCCATAGATAAAGATGGTAGATGCTTTTTCTATAGATAAATAATTTTCAGACTAATCAAGGAGTATATACTTATATTCTATTTTGATTTGATTCAACACGCAAAAGTATTTTATTCAAATAGATCCGGGATTGCAAAGATGAACGGTACTGTGCTCTTTGTTGCGTGATAGAAGTTTATTATGATTTTTTTCACAACGTACAAAACTGCGACAAGTCGTTATTAGATAATATTTTAGTAGCCTGAACAAAAAGTAAATGGGAGTTTGTATAGATCCGAGATACATATGACGAGTGAAGCCGCTGGCTATAATTAGTTATATAGGGAAGCCATGAGTAATTGCTAAATTTATATATATATATATATATATATATATATATATATATATATATATAAATGTTCATAAGCAAATATTCTTTGTGATCTTGTTTAATCTTCGTCTCCTTTTCCGTGGTCAATCATGATAATGTCGAGATAAACATTAGCGAAATGGAAATTTTACTTACCTACGTCTACAGTTGGATGGTCGCGTTGTGTGTTACTTTAAACAGTAAATTAAAATTAAAAAATATAAAAAAATATATATAATATACTACAATATAGTCAAATATTGTGTGAGTGTGTTGCATTTAATAATTATTTATTTCTAATGAAATTTGAGAACAGTGAAAGAAGTGAGGTAATTTTATTTGTATTATAATGTCATATTATATACGTTGAAGGCAACATTGGTGTAGTACATTGTGCCCAAACCAAGTAGGAGCCAGGTTGAATATCGTGGAAAACAGACTTATATTATCTTAAATCTAATAAAATTTAACTACCTACGTAGTTCTTGAAAGATACGTCACCACTCTTACTTGACCGTTTCAAATAAAACTATTTTTTCGGATTTTTTCGCGAATTTATTTTGATTTTTGGTTCCCGAAATTTTGAATGCTTTACAGCAATCATGGTCACGAGAGAGACTAAGGTTTTAGACATCTCAAAAGTCATTATACACGTGTTACATTGACAGTGCCTACCCATAATTATTTTCATAATGTTAGTGTTGTTTTAAACTAGATCATTATAGATTACGGCTTAATTCTCTTCTCATTCAGGGGGGTCCATGCCTAAGAGTGGGACGTTAGAACATACTATATCAATATAGGTTTTTCGAAAGAAAGATAAATATCCACTTTGCTCTATGTTATCTTCTTGCTGTGATAATCTACTATCGTATATCGACTATAATATCATGAATTTTGACTAAAATACTATGAACAGAATTTGCAAACTTTATAAGATACTAGCAACTCACCCTCGCTTCACTCGGGTTCGTCCCTAGGTACGTTTTAATTTTTCTGAGATACTAATATATTTTCAACCGACTTCCTCAAAAAGGAGGAGGTTCTCAATTCGACTGTATTTTTTTTATGTTTGTTACCTCAGAACTCCGTCATTTATTGACCGATTTGGACAATTTTTGTGTCGTTTGAAAGTGTATACTTCCAGATTGGTCCCATTTAAATTTCAAAAAAAATAACACGCCTAAGGGTGGAAAAATAGCTAATAATGACTTGAACATGTCATATTGACTTGAAACTTTGCAAGTGTTTTTATTTCCGTTGATAGTACTGTGGTGTATTCGACCGAGATTCGAACCCGGATACCATGACACATGTGATCTTGCGACCCGAATCTTGTTTGCTTGGCCGCTTGACGACGATGCGTATGCCCAAGTGTGCGAAAGTAGCGATCATATTGTGTATAAGACCGCATGAAAACTCGAAAACACGCGTTTTACCAGACATAAGACAAATCCAGATCGATTTTTCGCCCCCGAAAACCCCCACATACCAAATTTCAGAAAAATCGTTAGAGCCGTTACTGAGAACGCCGGTATAATAAATAAATATACAAGAATTGCTTGTTTAAAGGTATTAGATATAAAATAGAAAAAAAATGTTAAGTACCTATAATCTCTTGAAATATTAAACCAAACATAGTAAAACTTTTTCTATTGTCAAAATCTATACTATTCTAAACTAATATAGGATACATACTTTTTATTAACTTAATTGATTGTTTTATAGTTGGTATGTGAGGAGAAGTCATAATGATATATATATATATATATATATATATATATATATATATATATATATATATATATATATCAGTTTTAAGAAACCATGAGGAATACAAATTTATTAGCCAAGCCGATATATAATATATGCGTACCGCGTACTGTTTGCAATGAAATAAATGAATACCTCGTTGAATAGTGGTTAACTTAAATTAGTCTCTGTGACCGAAATCTTGACACGATTGTTCTAGTTGCTTAACATTCTTATAGTCCTGAGTTCGAGTCTCAAATATGGCAAAAAACTTATTGGATTATTCTGATGAGAAATTCATTCATCATTCCTGGCTGAGTTACACTCTGGCCGACGGCTACTGAGATTTTCTTACCAGAAAAATTCAGAAACTGTACTTGGCTTGACCCGGGACTCAAACCCAGAACCTTCAGATCTGCAGTAGTATATGCTAGCCACTAGACCAACGAGACTGTTTCAAATTGAGGCTTTACTAGTATACTAGAATACTAATTCTACAAAAGATTCAATATTTTATCAGTTAATTTAATAAAACTTTACTTGTTTTAGCTGTCTCGAGAGTATGTACTGGACTTGCTGCGAGGAAAGGTTTTGCTTCGACAAGAAAATCGCTACTTATAAGTAAGTTAAAACTCCTTAGAACCTACTTTAAATAACAACTCGTCGTCTTAGTGTTCAAACAAGGTCATTTTTAATTTACTGAATACCTTTTGGGAATATACTATTTACATCATATTCCCAGCATCTGTAATAAAAAAAAATAATATTTCTAAAATTTTTATTTTCATACAAAAATAAAAATAATTTTTTTTGCACCTTCTATACCGTAATAGCCCTAGCATCTGGTCAAGTTTAAATGAAGCGCCGTCTCCTACACCCCTCCACCCCTCCCACTCCACCGGCCACGCGCTATCTTTTGCTAATGCTAGAACTATTACCGTTTAGAAGATGCAATAAAACTATTTTTATTTTTGTATAAAAATATTATTTATTATTATTTTTATTTTATAATATTATTATTTTTTCTTACATATGTTCTTTTTGTGATGTAAATTGTATATTCCCAAAAGGTCTTCAGTAAATTAAAAATGACCCTATCCAAACAACTAATTTAGCAAAAGGGTTTTAATTATTGACTTTTAAATGTCAATTGTCAATCCTATTGGTATGAAAGTAGTATTCAGCCCGTTTTGGATACTATGAAATACACATGTTACTTCAAAAAAACCAAAAAGTTGTATCTTATCTATACTAGCATTGCCCGCGGCTCCGCCGGCGTTCAGTTGACCAAAAACCAAATTCTTAGGTTTTACATATTAGTATACTCTTACATTGCAGTTTTTTTATTTTTTCTCAGAAATGAAATATTTTCCCGCGGTAAAAATTATCTTATATGTTGACGCGGATAACCAGCTATCACCATACCAAATTTCATCAAAATCCCTCCAGTGGTTTTTCTGTGATGCGGTAACAGACAGACAGACAGACAGACAGACAAAAATTCTAAAAACTATAGATTCGGACTCTGTATCGATAATAATGTCTATTTCAATTATATTTTCCAAAAAATATTTAATGTACAGATTCGACTTTGTTACAATTTTATTATATGTATAGATAACATACATCGTTTAATGCTATTGCTTTATCCGTACAAGAACACATTTGACTTGGTTGTTTTTTTATTATCGATAATAGTATTAGTTATACCGATAGAGTTAAGGCAGTGGTAGCCCAGTGGTAACGCGCTCGCTTGGGAAACCGAGTGAAGCGAGTTCAAATCCCGGGTCTCGCACGTCTGATATTTTCATGTGCGAATCATTTCCAACATTATTACCACTTGTCTTAACGGTGAAGGAAAACATCGTGAGGAAACCTGCATGGCTTAGAGAACTTACCAAGTTTTCGAAAGACATGTGAAGTCCGCCAACCCGCACTCGGCCAGCGTGGTAGACTATGGCCTGATTCCCCTCGTACTGAAGGGAGGCCCACCCCCAGCTGTGGGACGTTAAAAAAAACGGGCTGAATACACATACCGATGAAGTAAGTAACTAAAATGCATCCATCTTAAGTTCCGTATTTATAATATTATAATAATGGAATTTTTTACTGAAAATAATTTCTGATGTAAAAATGAACAATAAATAGCTACTATAAATCATTTTCCTTATAAAGTAGTACGATATTTATTATATGGAAACAAATAATGTATCTTATCACGAATGTTACATGTAATAGATTGCAGTAGGCGTTATCACTTATCATTGCCAATATTAAATCGCTGAACAAGGTCACCTCTCAATTTGTAAGTGTTTTCAAAAGGGAAAAACTCAATATCATGCTCACAGTTGTGATGCAATGAAGTTTGCTTGTGGCGGATGAAATTATTATTTACTAGCAGAACCCGTGGCTTCGCTCGCGCTAAATCTACAAAAAAAAAACTCTAAAAAGGTAGGCTTTATACACACTTTCATGAACTATTTTACCCCTATAAGAGATGAATTTCGAAAAATGCTAAAACACGTATTTATTTAATTGTATTGAAGAGCATTCATACCAAATTTCAAGTAATTCTGATCATAAATATTTTTTTCGGTTGTATTATAATGTGTTTTCCTGTGGGAAGTAGATGATCTCCCGCGGTAAAAAGTAGCCTATGTCACTCTCCAGCCCTCTAACTATCTTCACACAAAAAATCACGCCGATCCATCATTCCATTTTCATGTGAAAGAAGGACAAATAAATAAACAAACAAACAAACAAACAAACAAACAAACAAACAAACAAACAAACAAACACACTCTCACATTTATAATATTAGTATGGACTATCGGCACACCTTTGCTTCGCTCGGGTGCATCTCTAGGTACTGAAAAGTAGCCAATATATTGCTCATATGTTATAGTCTATCATAGTGTACTAAATTAAATAATTTTTAGTCAACTTCATCCAAATCTGTTCAGCAATTTTAGTGTAAAGGATAAACAAACATACACACACACATACACGCATTCGCAATGTTTTGTTTTTTCCAAATAGACTACTGTCTTGGACCAGTTAATTTATGTATGTAGGCTTAAATATACTTCCAAACGTTTCTATTTATTCAATATTTTGATTTTTACATTAACTTTCCGCCAAAACAAATATTTGTAATTTAAAGTGAATTTTGTTTATTCTGTTCTTCATAATAAGAAAACATTTTTTGTAATTCTATCTAAATATCTACATATGAAATGAAGATGCTTAGGTTCGAAACATATATTATTTTAAATCATCAATGGAAATGAAAGAATATTTTATGTTAAAAGAAATTATTGATCCTAAAACAAAACTAAATTAACAGATTAAAACTTCTTTGATGACATGTGTAGTCGCGGGTTCAAGTCCCGCTGGGATTCATTTGTGTGATGAGCACGAATGTTTGTACCTGAGTCATGTCATGGGTGTTGATATTTATAATATGTATCTATTGAAGTTATATTATTATGTCTAGTGTGTCAACTATCTGGTATCCATAACACAAGCCTCGAAGCTTACCATGGAACTAGATGGTGCTGTGTGTTAATGCCCCGACATATTTATTTATTTCCTTAGTCAAGCAAAAGTCATATAATAACAGCTTAGGAAAAAAACTAAGAATGATGATTATATCTCATCTCAACGTTTCTCATATCTTAGGAATACCCCAGATATAAAATGCTTGTATAAATAGACGTACGTACTGATTGCATGTTTTAGAATAAATAATAAACACAATTTCATATATTGGTTAATTTGAGATTATAAATCTTTGCTTTTGGAATTAAATATTATTATTTTAGTCATTATGTTGAATTTACTGAGACCATATTATAAATAAAAAAGTTGGCATGTTTATTAATTTTTTTACAGCCAATCTATACTAATATTAATATTATAAATGTAAAAGTTTGTGAGTATGGGATGTTTGTTACTCTTTCACGTCAGAACGCCTGAGCTGATCTGGATGGAATTTGGCACAGAGATAGATTATAGTCTGAAATAACACATAAGCTATTTTTTATCCCGGAAAAAATAAACAGTTCCCGAGGGATAGATTTGTTTTTGTTTTTCTAGAGGCGAACCCGAGCGAAGCGATGGTGAGCCTAGTCTATCATAGTGGTACGAAATTTGGTCTAATAATAGCGTGTATTATTCAAAAACATAAACAAAAGGGTGTAAAAAGATTCTTAAGCTGCCATGATTATTCCTATCAAGATTTCACAATATCTGTAAAAATCAAAGAATTTCCGCGTGATAACAGTGGAATTTTATACGAAAATCCTCTTCCTACACATTTACATCGTGTCTACATATATGTACCTAGAGATTACTACATGGATTTTTGTTGCTTATCGCAATCACGATTAGTATGTTATTTCCTTTTTGTATGTTTTTCAGTAAACAATATTTTATAGACAAACAAATTTATTGTAGTATCAATTTGCTACAACAGTTTGAAATGGTCTGAAATCGACTTCTTTTTAAATATATTTTAGTTAGCTACTTTACTAGATGCACTTAACTAACAGAAACGCTTAAATCAATCTCTTAAAATTATGTAAAACTAGCACCTCACCCTCGCTTCGTTTCGGGTCCCTAGATTAAAACAAATCTATCCCACGGGAACCGTACATTTTCCGGGATAAAAAGTAACCTATGTACAATTCCAGAATATAATCTATCTCTGTGCCATATCTCATCCAGATCCGTTCAGTCGTTCTAGCTTTAAAAAGTAACAAACATCCATCATTTATAATATTAGTATGGAAATTACAGGTGTAAATTCTATAAACGTTAACGCTATATTCAAAAATGAAATCTCGATTGTTTTGTATTCAGCCCTTTTTAACGTCCCACTGCTGAGGGTGGGCCTCCCTTCAATACGAGGGGGATCAGGCCTTAGTCCACCACGCTGGCCGAGTGCGGGCGGACTTGACATGTCTTTTGAAAACCTACTAGGTTCTCTCAGACATGCAGGTTTCCTCACGATATTTTCCTTCACCGTAAATACAAGTGGTAATCATGTTGAAAATGATTCACACATGAAAATATCAGAGGTGCGAGACCCGAGATTTGAACTCGCTTCACTCGGTTTCCCAAGCGAGCACGTTACCTCTGGGCTACCACTGCTTACTGAATTATTTTATTATTTTATAAAAAAATTGATTAAATATTTTTTTTGTCTATGTTTTTTCTAACCATAAAAAAAACCTTTATTTACTTTTTACAATATTTAACCTTCACTTCATAATACTTATAAAAAACTTAAAGCATACACATTAATTAACACAATGTTTGTAGTTTAAATATAACAAAAAAAAAGACATTAACGTATATACAATAGTGTTGTGTAAAAAATATACGCTTTTTCCTTTATAGATAACAATTAGAATATTATTTTTTCCTTAAAAATCCGTAATTTTGCGTTATTTATAATTTATAATCAAAAATATCAGCTGTACTCATTTTTTTTATTTTTTTTTTATTTATTGAATAAGGCTTACCAACTAAAGTACATACACAAATTCAATTACGAAAATAGCGTTAACAAATTTCATTTTTGTATATTACTCTAAATTAAAGGCACGCACAACATTTTATAACTAGGTAATAAAGTTTTCGATGTACTTGCTTCGACACGGCAGGGAAATTCAGTTTTTGGACCTATGTTACTCAAAGATTCTAGCCTAGACTCTTATGCTATCAACTAGCATTGCCCGCGGCACCGTCCGCGTTCAGATGACCAAAATCGAAATTCTCGGGTTTTACATATTAGTATATTCTTATATTATTACAGTTTTTGTATTTTATCTCAGAAATGAGACTTTTCCCGCGGTAAAAAGTATCCTATATGTTGACCCGGATAACCAGCTATCACCATACCAAATTTCAACACAATCCCTCCAGTGGTTTTTCTGTGATGCGGTAACAGACAGACAGACAGACGGACAAAAATTCTAAAAACTATAGATTCGACCTCTGTATCGATAATAAGGTTTTTTTCATTAAGATTTTCCAAAAAATATTTAATGTACAGATTCGACTTAGTTACAATTTTATTATATGTATAGATAGATATAAAGTATTAATACATTAATCTTGATCGTAACACTTGTTTACAGCCTAGAAGATAATAAAGTATATGCGAATGGATACGCCAATATGGGTGCCAGTTTAGACAGTGTGGTTACACAGCAACCTATTAACAATAATCATCTACCACAAGGAGCTGTAATTGGGAGAGAGATCAATGAATTGCCGCTTCACGCTGATAAACTTTACGAGGTACGTTAAAGAAATACATTATAAGATACATACAACTAACTGCCTCGGTGGTGTAGTGGCTAGCATGTACGGCTGCACACCCTGTGTTCCTGGGTTCGAGTCCAGGATCGGGTCAAGTTTACTAATTGAGTCTTTCTGTATAGTAAGTCTCAGTAACAGCCCGGAGTTAGGAAGTTGGCGGTGTTTCACCCCCGTGCCTCGGAGAGCACGAAAAGCCGACGGCGCATTAATTTTCACTGGTCGTGTCAAGCAGTCGTCCCACCGGAGTATGAGAGTGACAGGAATAGAGAGTGCACGTTGTGTCTGCGCGTACACTTGTGCACTATAATATCTCCTGTGCAGTTGGCTAGTCTCAATGAGATTGGCCGCCGTGGCCGGAAGCGGTCAGGAGGACATTATTATTATTATTACATATGTACTCTTTTTATATACTTTGAAATAAATCAGATGCCTAAGCACTGCGTAAAATGGGTATTAGGGCGCACGTCCTTCAATAATATAATAATATCCTTTTGACCGTTTTTCCGACAAAATGTCTGATTTCACTAAAATTAGCAGTTTATGTTTTAGTCTAAAACATAAATTGCTTGATTATAGCAGGTTCCTATGATTATAGCAAAATTGACGTGCTTACTGAGTATCTGTTTACAGACATTTATTTTTCCGTCTCTGTCTCCTTTTTCAACATTACCCCGGATTCAAACCTCGGATCTCATAATCTACAATAATTGTAATGTTGTAAAAAGTATACGTTTTAAAATATTTATATTTATCAAAATTATTGTTATTAATTTATTAATTTATTAAGCATATCCAATCTTTTTCATCAATCACAAATCATAAAAATAAAAATTTATCTTGACAAGATACTTTATGACTAATGGCAATATTAGTTGTCCTTCATAATTTGCTTACCAAGGTTGTTTATAGACAAGATTTATAAAACTTGTTTTCATTGCGCTTCATTTTTGCAAAAATCACGTATAGATAATATTGTTGGTATTTTTGCCTTTAGTTTACAAAGGCTTTATCTTTCTTTATTTACTTTATTTATTCACTTCTCTATATATATCTTTCTTTTCAGGTTTTCTCCAAATCACTTATATTTAGAGATGAACACGAATTAAAGAAAGGCAGCTCAAATTCATTGGACGAATTAGAAACTAAATCTATGCCAGAATATCTTTCAGATAAACCTAATAGGACTAAAGTTTACTTTGAGGATGAAGTTGATTCACCTGTTACCGACTTTGAAATTATGTTCAAAGACGAACTTATGTCTAATTACGACATATTCAAAATCGACGAAGAAGATTCTAAAAGCCAAGACACGGAAGAGGGACTAATAATGAATGTGGCAGTTAAAAAGCAAGACGTTATCAAACCTAGCACGGTCACAATTAAAAATGACCATAAAATAACAAAACAATATCCAGTATACGAATATGATCCAATTTCAGTAGTAGCGTTGCCATCTTCTTTATCTTTGCCTCGAGTTGAAAGTGTTAAAGGAATATTACGTACAAATAGCACAAGAGCGTTAGATAGGACAGAATCTAATAATAAATTATCGCGACCTAACTTAAGTAAAATGGATAGTTTGAAAAATATTGATCCAAATAAAATAAGCAAGGTCTTAGCTCGAGTGCCGCATCGCAGCGCTTCTTTCCTAAATTTACCCTCACATTTGATTGAAAAGCCGCCTTTGACTAAATCAAAATCAACTGTAGGTGTAGCGTTGGGTGATTACGAACTAAAATTAAGTTCTTTACCAGATACGCCTATAATAAAAAGTAATAATTTGCCCAAATTTTTCGTAGATAGCCCCATGAATGAATATAAAGGGGAAACTAGTTTACAGAGTCTCAAGCAACAGGCTCAATTGATAAATCAGAATGACTTCAGTATGCCTAGATATTACGGAACAGTTAAAGCAGAATTAGCAGAAAGTAAATCTATGCCAGATTTAAGATACCCTACTTCAACGGGTAAAGTCAGTAAGCGTTTAGTTAAATTGAGAAGTAGACTAAAGCCCTTGGTTATTAGGAAAAGTTCAGAAGAAAGGTTATAAGTGTACTTATGTTTGAGACCAAAATAACTTATTAAAATTGACATGCAAATATTTGTTTACAATTGACACTGAATTTTTGTTTGACTTCACATTCTGTTATTAGTCGCGGGTTCGATTATCGCGCGACACAAATTTTATCGACCAAGGATATTTATTAATTTTAAATTATTTTACTTGTCTAAGTAAAAAAATCTAATCGTATGATGTTATATAAAATTTTCAACTGAGTTATAGTAAGTCCACCTAAGACTTATTTAAATTTTGTGGTTTTGAAGTCAAATCTTAAAAACCTATGACTTTACTATGGACTCAATAAAGTGACTTAATTTTTGACTATAATATAATATTTAGCATATATTAGAACAAAAATAACTAATAATAAAAATCTAACAGTATTGTATTGCTCAAAAATTGATCAATTAAAAATAAAATCTAGTCACAAATTAATTTTAAAACTTTAAAACCATTGTATTATTTAGGCTATAAACGATTAGTTCTTTGCTTTATTTACTTTTATATTAAATGAGCAATTCTCGTAAGTATATATTTCATGTATCGCAAATTTTGTGTAAAAACAAAAAAGGTTCTACTTTTTATGTTTATCTATATGGTCATTTCTGAAAAACCTAATTTTTATATATTTTCCAAAAATACGATTTTACAGAAAAATACTTTACTTTTGGATGTTACAGCTTTAGCTACAGATATTATTATAACATTTTCTAAAATAATTTGAATTAATGTTGCCTTGTCAAGCTTTTTGATTGTATTATAGATAATATATTGAAATCACCTTCTTTATAATAATAATATCTACAGGTTCTACATTAAAAGCAAATATTATTTTTCCTTAATTTTGAACATGAATTGAAAAGACAAAACGATATATGTCTTAAATAAAGTACTTACAGTCATAAAGATAATACATACACATGGAGTAGGCAACTGCCATTCAGCACTATAATTAACGGTGAGGTGTGGAGAAAAAAAAAGAAAATGTCTGCCTAGTTCCTCCTATCTTTATATCATGATTCATGCGCATTAGTAGACTTTATATGGCGCAAAACTCAAATTAAAAGAAATCTATACATAAAATAAAATTGTAACTAAGCCGAATCTGTACATTAAATATTTTTTGGAAAATCTTATCGAAATAGACATTATTATCGATACAGAGACCGAATCTATAGTTTTTAGATTTTTTTGTTTTGACAGACAGACAGACAGACACTGAAGGGATTTTGATGAAATTTGTTAGGATAATAGCTGGTTATCCGGGTCAACATATAGGATACTTTTTACCGCGGTAAAATATCTCATTTCTGAGAAAAAATGCAAAAACTGCATTGTAAGAGTATACTAATATGTAAAACCTAAGAATTTGGTTTTTGGTCATCTGAACGCGGGCGGAGCCGCGGGCAATACTAGTGCACAATAAGTAACGCTTTATTATAACTCAAACCCTTTACGTATTATCACGCACAATTCTTATTACCACAAAAAATGCCTTATTTATAATAATAATAATAATGCCCTTGATTCAACAATCTTACATACCTATACCTACATGTTTTTTTTGTACTAAACTTTATTATTAGACAGTAGTTTCGCGAAGATTGACTTGCTTTATAGCATAGGCCTCCCCTAAAGCTTGCCACAGAGTGCGATTATCTGTTTTCCTTGTCCACATAATACCTGCTGATAGTTTAATATCGTGCTCCCACCTACGACGTTGTCTCCCTTTCTTCCTTTTTCAATGTCTTGGATACCACTCGGTTATATCCTTCGCCTATTTATCTTTTGTATTCATCATGTGACCTGTCCATTTCCATTTCCGTTTTTTAATAGAATACGTCACATCCGTAACTCCGATTGGTTTACAGATTGTTTTTAGTCTATTTATTCCGTAGTTTAATATTGAGCATGCTTCTTTCCATGCTATGTTGGCAGGTCTCTAGTTTGCATATATTATATTCTGTTAAAACTCCAAGTTTGGCATCCGTAAATCATAATGGGCAGAATACACGAATCGATAGATAGATATTTTATTGTACACCACAAAGAAATATACAAAAAGAAGTTATAAACAATAGATGATGCACAGGAGGCGGCCTTATCGCTATAAGCGAGGGGTCTGGTTTTTCTTTGTCCCTTTCTATCTGGATATCTCATTTTTGATCGGCTTGTCTACTTTATATGTATTATCTCTATACTGTTACAGCTGTCGTACAGCTAATCATTTTTAGTAAATAACAGCCATATTATAACGGTAACGGATAAAATAATTAGATGAATTTTTATTTGTCAGTTAATTTTTTGCGCTGGCAACCTTACATTTTATATAATAAACTCCCCACCTTTAAATAAAAAAAAAACTAACAGTTAACTTTTATACCAGTTATACCAGTGTTATTTTTAAGTTATTTCAGTTTTATTGTGATAATATTGAACATTGATCTGTTTGATTTTTGTAAAATGTTGTAAAAGTTTAGTAATAGTAAATAAAATATACATTATAATCATGTTTTATTTATCCTTTATATTATTATTGTATAAATTAAAATATTTAAAAACCCATACTTATATTAAAATTATGAAAGTTATTCTGTCTATTACCTATTCATACTTAAACCGCTGAACAGATTTTGATAAAATTTAACAAGGACATAAATTGCATTTTGTGAACCATGCTTCGATACCCGCTCTATTTAAAAAAAATAACCGTAATTGTATGTTTAATTGTGAATTGAAATTAAAGAAACACCATTTATCTATAGATTTCCTATAGAAATATCTCAATACTATACCTATTAGCTATAAGTTCATACAAAATAATCGACTGTGCTACGCTTGGTTTTAACGTTTAAATCATTTCTCAATCTATAATGATACTTTTTACTGCGGGAAAATATCTCATCTCTGAGAAATCTATATTAAACCTTAAAACGTAACTAGGGAAGAAACCGAGCGGAGCGAGGGTGAGTCGCTAGTAGGTATATTAATAAGGCCAAGTGCCAACGCTATCTATATCTTAGCAAATTTTAGTACCGACTAATAATCCGATAAATATTTTTTTTATTTATTATTTAGTTTTCCATATTTTTTTAAATAAATATAACATTAAAAACCACTGGTATTTATGTGATGCTACATTATTCGGTACTAAATATATTACTAAAGTAGAGTAATTACATAATATGTGATGATGATGTTCTCCTAGCCGATTCCGGCCACGGCGGCCAATCTAATTGAGACTAGCCAACTGCGCAGGAGATATTATAGTGCACAAGTGTACGCGCAGACACAAGTGCACTCTCTATTCCTGTCACTCTCATACTCCGGTGGGACGACTGCTCGACACGACCGGTGAGAGTTAAGGCGCAGGACCGACGGCTTTACGTGCTCTCCGAGGCACGGGGGTGAAACACCGCCAACTTCTCAACTCCGGGCTGTTACTGAGACTTACTATACAGAAAGACTCAATAACTAAACTTGGCCCGACCCGGGACTCGAACTCAGGACCTCCGAGTGTGCAGCCGTACATGCTAGCCACTACACCACCGACATAATATGTATTCCTATCTTTTACCTATCTGTGTACTAAATTTTATCCAAACCCGACCAGCCGTTTCAGCGTGAAGGAGTCTACTATTATAAAGAGGAATGATTTATATTTTTGTATGTTTGTAACGAATAAACTCAAAAACTACTGGACCGATTTAGATGAGATTTGGTAAGAAAATAATTTGATACCCTGGGAAGGACATAGGATATTTTTTTTCTGAAAACCATTCCTTAAGGGGTGAAAATGGGGATAAAAGTTTGTATGGGGAATCAACCTAGGAACGAACTCGAGCGAAGCGAAGGAAGATCGCTAGTAACTAGTATAGTAACATTACAATTTAGAGTGATAATTAGATACTTTGTGGCTGAGATCACGGTCATGGTCGCCTTTTACGCATGCGGTATATAATTGATGGGTTAGGCAAGAATGGAGTGATATTATGTTATTTGTTATTATGTTTTCGTCATCTACTCCATAATGACATGGTTATGAGAAAAGCAAATAGCTAAGTCGTAAGTTTAGGATTTTTATATAATCTTTTCGCCCAGTGGTCGAAATTTAATCATAATCATTTTATTATAGATAACTAGCGACTCACCCTCGCTTTCGCGGTTTGCCCCTATTTAATTTTTAAGGTTTAGTATAGATTTTTCAGAGATAAGATATTTTCCCGCAGTAAAAAAGTATCCTATATGCTGACCCGGATAACCAGCTATCATCATACCAAATCTCATCAAAATCTGTCCAGTAGGTTTCTCGTGATGCATTCCCAGACGGACAGACAGACAGACAGACAAACATTGTAAAGCGTATAGATTCTTCCTCTGTATCTATAATAATGACTATTTCAATAAGGTTTTCCAAAAAATATTTAATGTATAATTCATATTTAGTCGGCTGTTACAATTTTATTATATGTAGCTTATATTAAAGCTCCACAATAGCTAGAAAACAAAAAAAAAGATTTACAAACTGAGGATAAAAAGGTACTGAACTGACTTAGTGAAATCTGTAAATTAAATCCCTAGTTTTACGGGTTCATATCCTGGTTGTGACAATCTAAATAAGTTTTCGGGACATTCTTATATTAAGACTATGATAAGATGAATAAAAGACGAATAAAAAAAGCGCACAATTTATTACAGAATTACTATTCCATACATTTTTTTATATTTTTTTGGTATATAATTTAAACAGTAAAACCAATTATAAACATAGAAACATTGGTTTCATATTATGGAATCGTTAAAATTCTCTAAAAAAATTGAAATGCTATAACTACTTACTATCGAGTGTACTTTAGTTCACAAATCTTAATATTTAATTTATATCTAGACAGGATAGCAAGCGATTGGTTGCGCAACTTTTGTTTTGTAACCAAAAAATAACCAAAATTACCTACACAACAGAGGCTCGTGAATTGAAAAGTATGAGTAATACATTTTCTAATAAGAGAAATGGTAAAAGGGCTTTTAATATCTCATTCTGAAGTATTTATTGTGAAGTCAGAAACAAATGCCAAATCAACAGTTGCGCTACTAAAAGTTGACTAAAATTGCTTAATTTACATGGCTGATAGAGTGAATTGTTGGCCTTCATATTAACTATATCTATATTCACAGCTCAGAACGAAATAATAGAATCAACAGAGCACACAGAACAATAAAAGTGAGATAATCCCTCAAAACTTGTTTTTACACGAGTAAATAGAGTACGACTTCAGGCGTCAAGTATAATGTTCTGAACGCTCCATCAATTTTATTATTTAGTCTGAAATTTTAAATAATAATTAATATAGAAATGTAATTTATCGCAAATGAAAAATACAGTGCTACGTTCTATTACCGAATTGCGATATATAATAATAAATATTAATTGTTAGAGAAACCGTATTTGTGCGTAAATCGATGTAGGCCAATGTTTAAAATTCTTTATTATGTTTCATTTACGATAATTTATATGACTTATATGTTGAATATTAGGCTATTCCATTTAAAACAGTCATAAAAAAATTAAATAAAAAAAAATATTTTTACATAGAACATATAAAACATTACAGAAATAACGGGATTTAGTATTTATATTTAAACAACGAAACCTTATCGTTATGAAAAATTATGAAGATAACGAGATTTTCCTATGTATGCCATAATTAATACAGAACCCCGTAATCAGTAAAAGACTATCATGATGCAAAATATTATAGATAAAACGGGATTTTAATGTACATAGTATTTATATATTTTACCAAAAAACTATATTAAATATAGTAACAAATTACCTACAATCAATAACAGCAAAATAAATTGAATTTTAGTTAGTTCTTACTTATCCTATAGTGTACTATTTTGACTACATTAATACGAATGAGGGAAACCTTTATACACTTTACAATGATTTAGAATAATGCTACGCAATTCACTTTCTCTATGCGAAGATTTATGTACAATCGCATAGTTTTAGTATTAAAATTTTAACAAAATCTACCATCTGTCTGTTATATTAAAAATAAACTATTTTGCATAAAATAATATGTACATAATATACTACTACAGATATTCAACGACAACATGTTTTTTATTTAAATAAGTTTAATTTGCGTATCAATTGGCTAAAAAAAATCATTAAAAGATTTTTCATTAATCTCAGCAAATATTTCCTTGAAATTTTATTGATAAAAGTGATTAAGAACCAGCAATCGCTTAGCTGTTTTATTTTTATTTGTTCTGAAATTCTATGACAAACAACATCCCTTGTTATAAATTGTATCATGTATTGTATCGGCTTGTATCTATCTATGGGTACTGTAGTTTAAAGCCAATGAACACTAATATATGCAATAGTTTGAAATTCAACTTATTTAATTGGCATGTCGACGTTGAAAATATACCTAATTTAATGGAAAATTCAATTAAAATTGACAGATGGAATATATGGTATGCATTAACTATTAGATTTTTTAAAAGGCTTTACACTATACTTATGCTTAAAGAAAGGCTAAATCTAGCTTTCTAATACAGGGCACAATGTTGGAACTATACGATAGACTATGAATACTATTCAGATATATGGGGACTAGAATTGGATTTTATAGAAAAAAAAACTATTTTCATTACACCTGGCAAGGAAATGACAAAAATTGTTTTTACCTTTTAAAAATCTATTTGCGATATAATAAATGAGTAAAACTATTTTTTTTACTTTGAATATTGAAATTTTACATTAATGTTACATTTGGGAGGTGAAATATATTTTATTTCATAAAATTGATAAAAAATTGCCAAAAATTAATAAAACGTAAAGTTTTCCCGTATTTATAATGTCTGGTATGTAAACGCGATTGTGAATACTTTCACGTCCTTTTCTTTTTCTATTTCGTATCAGTTTTCTATATCTGCCTTATATAAATCTAGGAATCTCAGGACTTCGAACCATGCTTTTATTCATATCTTTTAGTTGTAGTAACAATTACCGATATTAATGTTAGCGAGTTACATTTTTACCTTTATAAATTTCTTCTATTTAGATTTCAATATATTTTTTTATAGATTTCCTTGCCAGAAACTAAAAAGTTGCTAATATACCTAAAATACAAAAAAAAAACCTTTACAATTGCTATGAATCAAGGGTCATTTCGGCCTAACATTAAATTAAATTAATTAATTAAGTTATTAAAATAATTTCAGTTCTAACAAATCAATACTGAATCACTACATTAAGCTTATAAGGAATACTATCTAAAACTAATTTGGTACTTGCTTCGATTATAAATTAGAAAATTTTGGAAAATTTAATATGATATTTTTATTCAATAAATAAAATGTTAATACGAAATGTTTGAAAATATATGAACTTTATTTTCTTCATAATTTTAATAAAATATTTTAATTATTCATAATTTATTTAGATAGTGATCGATGCAAGAATCTTGTCACATAAACTACATCAAAAGGAGACGTTTCATTTTTATGTGTAACATTATTTGTAAAATTAATTTATTTATGTAGAAAAATGTTTATTATCTTTTAGTTAAATATAAGTCAAAATAATATAAAAAAAACAACATTACAACAATACAAAATAATAATAACAATAATTGACTAATAACTTTTAAAATGTCTCCTCTTATCAATGAAATATAAATAGCTGTTAATTATATTTTTTCTAAAATCTTTGCCATCAAATTTTTTAGTTATTCAGAGTTGCAAACACTTTCAAAGTAGGTTCCAAATCGGAAATACGTTAGGTATCCAAAATTCTTATTGTCTAGTCACTTCACAAATCCGATCCGTTATTGGCAATGGCAACAGATAGTTTTGCCAAATAACTATTATAAGGCAAAATAATAATTTAGCTTAAAGATGTATTATCTTGTCACGCCTGTAAAATATTTATACTTATGGTTAATTTAGAAAATATCGTTAATTATAATCAACACAATTTAAGTTTTTTATAGTGGCATTTAATAAAATTAATAATTATGTACATTTCAAACATTAATCGTAGAAATTCAATACAAAAATTTTAATCTCTCATCGTATTCTGTAAATTATTGTATTGCTGAAAATGAATATATGAAAGATTTCCAAATATAACGGGATTCCACTTTCGGTAATTTCTGTTTTTTATAAAAATACAATGTTTCTAAAGGTATCATGTAATATTTTAAATATGCATGACATATTATAATAATCATAATGTTAAGAAAATGCTGCTAAAAATGTTATCTGTGTAATTTTTTTCAAAAACTAAAAAGGAATGACAGTGACATATACATAATATTATTATTTTATAATTTATTGTTTCAAACAACAAAAACAAAAATGTTTTTATTTTATGTTTAATGTTTATTATGATATATTTAAAATATAGCGTCAACTAACAATCTATATAGCAGTTTAGCATACACCAATAAAAACTAATCGGACAGACGTGACGGTGCAATCAATAATATATTAGTGAAAAAGCTTAAGTGTCGTCAAAACTAATGACGTATAAACATATATTATTCCCTTGTCTATATGTTTGATAAATTTAACCAAAAGGAAACCAATTTTAAAATTATCTTGGAACTATTTTGAATCTTTTCACTTTTATATTAGTTTTGTTGTTGCATAATTTCAAAATGGCGCCGACTGCCAAAAATTCTGCAGTAGATACGTCTTTACCGTCAACTGCTACAATGAAATCTCCTTTTTGTAATTTGCCATCTACTTCAGCTGGTGACCCTGGAAGCTGAAATTAAAAATAAATAATATTAAATACTGCAAACATAAAGTATTTAAATATCGTTATGATTGATCACATTTCAAAAACTGTAAGAAACAACGTAATATTTAAAATTTTGCTATTATACTTATTTACAATGTTGTTCTTTTTAGACATTCACTTGATGTATGTATATTTAACAGCGGTCTTTTGATGCTTAGTGGGATGTTGTAGGTGAACAAAACTGTCAACAGTTTATTTTAAATTCGGCTCGAAATAGAAAAATTACGTCTTGAATCTAGTCTTTCATTGAAATGAAACATATCCAATTATTAAAAAAAATCAAACCCACATAGCAATAAGCATGTTTATATTATTTTGATATACAATCCAAATATATTTTTAATGTAAAAAGCCTATATTTTCGGTTTGCTCATACTTAATATAAAACAAAGTCCTCCGCTGCGGGCGTCTGTCTGTTTGTTCGCGATCAACTCAAAAACTACTGCACCGATTTTCATGCTGTTTTCACCAATGGATAGAGTGGTTCTCGAGGAAGGTTTTAGTATATAATTTATTAAGTTTTTGTATACATTGGCTAAAATATAACGATATTTGTTGGAAGTGTCAGAAAAAAAATGCCGTCTAGTCTAGTAGTAGAAAAGTCCGCGATGGCATATGTCTATCTCTTAAGGATAACATACTATATCCATTTTAATTTAAAATGTACCTAAGGCCGAAAACCCGAGCGAAGCGAGAGTGAGTCGCTAGTTAATATAAAAATAAAATCAAATCTTACTAGTTCTCCTAAATATGCTCCAGTGCCTTCTATCGGTGGGACACAGTTCAGACCGAGAGGTCTCCCGGACTTCTTCGTCAGTTCCACCTCAATTTCATCATATTGCAATGGATCGGGTCGATAAACTGTCATTTTTAACTGGAATGTCAAAATGTTTGTTTTAATTTTTTTATATATTGTTTTTATGTTTATTCAACAATTGTAATAAATAATTAATAGATAATAGATATTAAATTTATTTAAATAATTTAATGATTAGGCAACAAACACATCAAAATCAAAATGATTTTGAATTTGATGTGTTCTTTTTCGCATCATCATTTTTTATCATCATTTTTGTTAATTTATTACAAAACCAAAAAAGAATTTTCAGTAATTTACCTTAGGTACTTTCAACTTAATAGATAAACAAATTCTCTCATGGCTCATATCCTTGTTGATGGCCACTCCATTGCAGTCACGGATCTGATCGCCCACTTTGAGTCGTCCGTCCTTAGCTATTGCACCGTTCTTGTATATTTCTAATATAACTGCAGCTGGGCCCTGAAGTAGAAAAAATTATAAGGAAATTAATAGATGTTATAGTTATTTGGATACAAACTAGTGATTTTTAAGAGAGGTCGCTAACGAAATTATTTATAATTTGTTAAATTCTAATATAATTAACTAAGTAGAAGAAGTATCATTGTTTGAAGTTTTCATAAAATTCAAAAGTCATTTTTTTTTTCAATTTTTTTTGGCTATCGTTATTCCAGGAATAACGAGATTGATAATAAGCGTAACTATTACGTTAGAAAATTAAAGAATAAATAAAATTATTGATAAAAAAGTTATTATCAATGTGAAATTCTTTTTATATATATTATAAGGTAAAAAGTGACAAAGGATATTTGATATTGGACTTACATTTATGAGAGTATCACTGCCGCCGAGTAGGCAGATACCTAAAACTTCGTTGTTTGTAGCTATTTCTATCACAGTATCTTGGTTTGATTTGATCGGAGCCGTTGCGGGGTCCGCGGGAGGTTCCGCTGTAATGTTTAAGTGGCATATAAGTTTAAATTGTAATTTCTATCCTTATATATATATTATATATTATTTGATATATATATCAAAGGAATTCGTAAGTAAGCATCTGTCTGGATGTATGCGCTCTTAAGAAGTACAAGGCGGATTTGGATGTGGTTTTTGCTAACAAAAAAGTTGTTTGCTGTAAAATTTTGTGGGTAAACCGAAATTTTTTTTATTTAAAAATAACGTTACAATCACAACCTGTAGCTGTAAGTATGTTAACATAATAAAAATTGGCCTTTTTTTTATAAGTAGGACATAAGCCTAATTGGTAAAACATGGTTTAATAACCCTAGCTTAAGGACAGTAAGATAAACAAGCATTATTTCACTTACGCTTAGCCGGAGCCGCTGGCTTAGGTGTGGTTGGTCGAGATGGGTCAGTTTTATTTCCTGAAAAAAAAATAATTATTTAAATTAACCATTTAGGTATATTTTTTATATATTATTATATTATTTCAAAACAAATTTGTCTTTTTATAAGCACATATGTTGACGTCGATGGCTGGCATACCGAGGCAGGCCTTAACAACCATGGGGTTGCTCCCACGGTTCACTATATGCTATCAGGGCCAACCTGTATTGCAGAACACCACTGACTCCCACCATGACACCACGACAAATGATATAGCGACCCGATTCAACTTTTGTTTTTTTTTACTGACACTTTCTAATAAAATATTATTAGTAAGCATCAATACGTCAAGATTTCAATATCGCGTAACATACACACAAACATACATTCTAATTGCATATTTCCTTTTCAAAGTCGGTCAAATATTAGATACGGACCTGAAGCCCCTGATGCAGACTCATCATTCTTATCTGGATCTTTCATGTTGGGACTACACACTGTGAGTACTACGACGCCTTCAGTTTGCTTTAGTTTTGCCGCTGCCTGCAAAAATATAAAAAAATTAACAAGTGCCAAGACATTCTTACGCTGAGGGTTCCGTAACATAAAATTTATATTTCTACATAGGTACGTAATTTGTTACTTTGAAAATAAAATCAAATATTTAGCCATCTACAACATTCATTTTATCAACTACAAAAATAATGTTGTATTTCATAATATTTCTATGTAAAACAAAGTTATTTTCGCGACCGAATGCGGAATACCGAAAAAATCGCAAGTCTCGCAAACTACTCAAGGCATTAATCAATATTGTTTTCGTTGAAAGTATTTTAGAGGTTACATTATCTCAATTTCTTTCATTAAACAATAAAGGACAGACGGCTTGCATGAGGAAATTATAAGGGCTCCATTTTGCCTTTACCTACGGAACTATAAAAAGGAAGTAGCTAAGTCTACTAATTTAAAGTAGTTGGTACATTAAAGTTTTTGAAATATTTGTTTGGATATTTAATTTTGTTTTTTTATTTTTATACTTTTTAACAAGTTAACAAAACTTTAAAAAATAAAAATAATACTTACAGCATCGTAGCTACAGCTAAGAAGTGAATCTTTGTTTACAGCTAAAATCATGTCTCCTATATTTAAACCAGCCTGAAATTAAATAAATAATGTTATATTTACAAAAATAATAATTAAATTTAATAAATAATATTAAAATAATTCCTTTAATTTATATTTTAAAAATAATGTTTATCATAATACTTTTTGTTACAACAGTTTAATAATAAAAAGAATAAGAATTCTGTAACGCTGTGACCTCGTTACTTCATCAGAGGTCACAGGGTTGATTCCGTTTAAAGTAAAATTATATTGCCTGAAGTTTTAACTAAATTATTTCAACAAAATGCCACCTTACTATCCTTTAAGAAAAACTACTATTCTTCAACTATTATAGAATGTCAGCTAAGCCCCTAGTTTACAGTTTTTCCTTATAAATTAGCATTGTAAATTTTTGACAACTTGTCAAGGACGGTCAGTTGTTTTGTTTGTTTCCATCCATGTTTCCAATCTGATATTTATTTACTAATTTTCAGAATTACTATATGAATATAGTTACGTGTGAGTTAGTCCTGTGTTCGGGATGGTTTTGTAAATCATTTATTTTTATATTGTTCTATGACAGACCCCCAAGCAGTTTCATCGTTTTTATAAGATTTTAATCATTTTTTTATATATACTTAAAATATGTACTGGCATTGCAATGTTTAGTTTTGATTTCTATTATTACAGGTATTATGAACTCGACTTCTATTTTGTTTTAGCAATCATATTTCTCACTCTCTGGTTTGTTATCGCGAATAAAATATCAGTTTTTTTTATATTCTCTTCATCTATTACCTAAGGTGAAAATCGAGTCGCTATTAATCGATTTTAATAAAGAAGGTTCTATGTTCGACCTCTATATTACTAATTTGTCTCCTTTTTTATGTTGATGATTGTTTCACAAACATAGTATAAATACTTTTAGAAAATATGTAAGCAATATGAATATCATTCTTACGTTTCTACGTTTGGCTCAGTTTGTAGTGACCCTACCTGCCATGCCGGTGGTTGCGGGTTCGAGTCCCGCTGGGGGCATTCTTTTGTGTGGTGAGGACAAATGTTTGTACTCCATTTATGGCTGTTTATATTTATAATATGTATGTATTTAAAGTTATATATGTGTAGTGTATCAACTATTTTGTATCCATAACTCAAGCCTCGTAGCTTACAATGGAACTAGATGGTGCTGTTTGTCAATGTACCAACATATTTATTTATATTTATATATGAAATTTTATACGTAAAATAATGTATGCAATAATATTATCAATATTTTAGTCCTACCTGTTCTGCTGCGCTGCCTTCCTGCAAATCCGACACGAAGATACCCCGACCAGCTTCTGTGTGTCTGCCTTCTATTATCATTATACCTAGTCCTGATGGTCCCTGGAAAGAAAAGAAAATAATTAAGAAAGCAATAATCTATACTAAAAAGAGGCAGAGTTTGTTTGCTTTTGTTTGCTCGTTTTTTTTGTACCGAATAAGCTCCGAAACTACTGAACCGATTTAGAAGATATTAGTATAGACATTATTTATAAACTTTAAATATCCGGTACTGTTTCAGAAATGAAATATTATAATACTAATAATTCATGAGTTAATTAAATCGTTTTAAGCCTTTTAAACTAAAAAAAACTCATGTATCGAATACTTGTATCAGATTTATGTTAACGAAATATTCCCAATATGAGAATATATTAAAAAATATATACTATTGTTAAGTAAGATCATACTCTAATTGGCACTTTATTCTCAAACAAAGCCCTCTTGAGGCGATAGTTTTTATTGCTTCATTGTATAATTCTCAATGTTCTATAAAAATATTATTGTATTATTCCTATAAAAAATTCATATTATTTATTCTTTATAATGATATACTAATATGACTTTATTATGAATTTCAATTATTAAAACAAAAGCAAAATTTTGCAATGAAAAAATATATAAAACCGTAGTACACGTTAATCAATGACTAATCTAAAATCTCAGGAAGTATGAGTAAAATAGGTTTATGAGGTTTTGACATCTATATACATATATAAAAATCAATATGCATGTATGTTCCCTATAGGCTGCAAAACGGCTGGAGCGATTTTGATGATATTTTCAGGCAATCTTCAGATTAGCCGAGCGGATGATCCTGTGAAGTTTGGTAGCGATCGAAAGTTTGAACGCGGGCGAAGCCGCGGGTACTGCTAGTAGTATATACAATAAATGTGTAGAACGCAAGAACTACGTGTGTAACAAATAAATAATTATGATGGATGTATGTTTGTGTCACTTTTCAACAAACGCTAGGAAAGGTAAGTAAATTTGATAACAGTAATGTGAGTTACAAAGCTGAGATTTCTCATAAATTTCTAAAGAAAACGAACTTTCATCCCTTATTTAAAAGGGAGGAAGCAAAATGCGCCTTAAAAAATAAATTAGCAAAAAATACTGCTCTTTATTTACTTTAAGGAAATATGCTTTTTAAGCTTCTATGCCTCTTAAGACCGTACAACGTCAGGCTAACGGTGTACAGTTTAATAATATCTATACTAATATTATTAAAAGGCAGAGTTTTAAATAAAACTATCTTTTCGGATTTTGTCGCGGATTTATTTGCATTTTTGTTTCCCGACGTTTCGAATGCTTTTTTTAATTCGAGAAGCCATAGAAATTAAAAAACATCCAAATGTCAATAGGGAAGATGGCTGGGTACTACCATCGTCATGGGATCCTGTTATTAATATAATAAAATCAAATAATAAATATAAACATAACAGACAGGCAGATGTAGTAAGTTCATACTGTGTAGATCAAAATGACAGCTTATCAGATTAATATTTTTCATTTTTCATTTGTAAAAGTATATATTAATAGTGTTGCTTAGTAATTTGTTTTAAAATTACACATAGAACAATTATATGGCTTAAATAATTAATACTATATTTTATATTTTTCTTTATGGTTATAAATATAATAATGGCAACACTAAATATAGATTACTAATTAATATTTTAAAATTGTAATAATTATAAAAATAATAGCAAAAATTAAATAAATAATTTTCCATATTCAATTATAATTAAAATTATAAAAATGTTTAAAGTTAAAAGATATTGTAATGTAATTGGTGCAATTTTCATTTTGTTAATTGTGGGTAGGCTGTCTGTAAGAACTATATCTTTAAGACATGTAACACCTCAGTCTCTCCCGTGACCATGGATGCTGTAAAGCATTCGAAACGTCGGGAAACAAAAATGCAAATAAATCCGCGACAAAATCCGAAAAGATAGTTTTATTTAAAATGTCAAATATTCGCGTAAATCTAAGAAAGTATTAAGGCAGAGTTTGTTTGTTTGTTTGTTTGTTTGTTTGTTTGTTGGGACGCGCTAATCTCAGGAACTACTAATCCGATTTGAAAAATTCTTTTTACATTAGATAGCCCGTTTAGTGAGGAAAGCTATATGCTATATATCATATAATATATACCCTAAAACGTACTCAAAGACGAACCCGAGCGAAGCGATGATAAATCGCTAGTATTTAGATAATTGTCATAACATACTTTACATAACATTAAACAGTGTCAATAAATCCATTAGATCTAATTAAAATATGATCTTTAATATCAGATTTCGTGTTTACAAACAAAATGAGTAAATATATCGAAAATGCTATAATTACTGATTGTTATCAAACATCTCTACTTTTGAGTAATAGAAATAGAAGAAATTATACTTATTATATGTAAGCGAAAACGTTCGATTTTAGTTTGACTTTTTAAGCAAAATGGAAAATAAATCTAAAAAATAAATTAAGTAAATTTAAAAATTAACAGTTGATTTCTTTTTACAGCAAAATTTTGTTTTGTTCTAACATTTTGAGAAATTCATTAATTGTGCTTTTGACTGCTATTAAGTGTCTTTTCGGATTTTTGGTTCCCGACGTTTCGAATGCTTACAGCAATCATGGTCACGGGAGAGACTGAGGTGTTAGATGTCACAAAGGCATTATATACATATGTAGCTGTTACATAAACGTCGGGAACCAAAAATCTGAATTTTTATTACCCGTGACGGCCACGGAGACGGTGTATGCGTTTGAGGTAAGAGGTGTTTGTGTGTCTGTTACATTTTTTTCGGAAACGGCTGGCTAGGCCGATTTTGAAACGGTATTTTGGTTTGTATAAGTCTCGTTTCTTAGCATGTTTTTAGCTAAATTTTATAATGTTACAGACCGCCAGGGGCTGCTACAGTATACACGTCATGTTTCTCCAAAACCGTTATATTTGTTTTACTACTCAAGTAGAAATAAAGCAGCTTAATATTTAAATAAATATATTGCATTTGCAATTTAAATTAAACATAAAAAACCCACGACGGAAAATTGTGACATGAAAAAAACTTTAAATAAAAAAAATCAAAAACCCATGACATTAAAGCGTAATAAAGAATATAATTATTAAACCTGTGTTTTAAAATATACATTAATTAACAATAAAGCTACTGGCACACTATTTCATAGATTACGCACGAGACGTCTGAATGGACGGCGGATATCATGGGTTTTAGAATTTTTTTTATGTTTTATTATACATATATTTTATATTACAGATACATATTATAATTTTATATAACAGAGCTTATAGAGAAAATGTTTTTTATTCCTACCTTTTTGACGGTAATATCTCGAACTCCCTTGTAGCCGGCGAATCGGTCGTCCGCCTGAAAAAATATATATAAATTTTAGACTTAACCAAACACAAAGGTTATACCTACGTCTATACTAATTATATAAAATTCTTTGTATGTATGTTTGAACGGATTTAATTAAAAATCTATGCAACAGATTTCAATGAACCTTTTTTTAAAATATTCCTTATGATTACAGAAGTGCTTATAGGCTATATTTGATTTTTTTAAATAAAATTTGGAAGTGGTAGCAAAGGCTATATCTGTAATGCTACCGGTCACGCGGCGAACGGGGTTTTATTTTACATTATTTTTAACTAACCCTACAACAATAACATATATATATAAATATATATATATATATATATATATATATATATATATATATATATATGTTATCGTTATATATATAAATATATATATATATATATATATATATATATATATATATATATATATAATCGATGTATGTGTGTTCTCTATGGATTCCAAAACGGCTGGAGCGATTTTGAAGAAATTTCCAGGCTATCTTCAGATTAGATCAGCGGAAGATCCTATGAAGTTTGGTAGCGATCGGAAGTTTGAACGCAGGCGAGGCCGCGGGTACAGCTAGTTAGATATAAAGTTGCTGAGAGTCATTAGCTATTATTAGGTAATGATCTGCGAATTTAATGATGAAATTAATGCGAAATAACAGGAAATCTATTTCTAAATATATAACATTGCAAGTAAAATAGTTACTTCGGATAAATAACCTTGTTAGCTAGAGGAGTTTTAGTTTAAAAAAACTGTTATTGCATTGACGAAGGCTGTTATTAGCAAAATATCCACTAAATTCTAAAATATAAAACTTTATAGAAGATAGAGAATTTTACAGAAGATGGCACACCTTGGGAATGAAATGATCGTCTCCAGGCTACTTCAAATTGATAGAAATATTGTAAATTATAATTTTACTTTAAAAAAAGATTATACTTTAAGAAAAGATATTGGTCCCGCTGAGTTTCTTTCGCCAGTTCCTCTCAGGTCTGAGGCTTCTTCTTTCCGAACTGGTAGTAGACTCATGACTTTCAGTAAAAAATTGTAATAATTTAATGCTGAATAAAATATTTTGTTTTGATTTAATAAACATTTTAATTAGATCTATTTATATTTTTAATAATCATTTTCAGTTGATTTGTTTGCTGACACATGACATATAGCATCAAATAAAATAGCCAGCTCTTCATCCTGGTCCACCAAATAATCCTTGGGATAGACTATAGTACTGAAGAGATATGAAAACGAGTCCCTAGTCTTTATACTTATAAAACTAGCACATCCCGCAGCTTCGCTCGCGCTGAAACTACAAAATTTCGAAAAAGGTAGTTTCATACAAACTTTCAACCTCTATTTTACCCTCTTATAGGATGAATTTTGAAAAATGCTAAAACACGTGTTTATTTAATTTTATAGAAGAACATTAATACCATGTTTCAAGTAATTTTGATCATAAATATTTTTTTGGATTGTATTATAACGTGTTTTCCCGTGGGAATTAGATAATCTCCCGCGGAAAAAAGTAAACGTGAAACAAACAAACAAACACACTTTCACATTTATAATATTAAGTATGGATTACGATGTACTTGAGCTTATATTCTTTTCCTTCAACGGTTTGATCGATTTTGGTGATTTTTCTGTGTATTTGTGAGTTCACAGTTGGATTGTTCATAATTTAGTGACTCGATAGGCAGCGTCGTTATCGAAATTCAGTTTTTTTTTGTTTTCCGGTTCCGGCTGATAATATTATTATAGTTATGATATAGAAGACATATTTCGCAATGACTCCGTCTCACGTCAACTTTTCAAAGGTAGTAAAATGGCCTTAACGTAAATATTTCAATAACATTTATTACGGACTCGAAATATTTTTTTTTTTATTAATGACAATTTTTAATAGTCTATAAAATTACATGTTTTACATATTCGTCATAATATTATCTATACATATAAATAAAATTTTAATATATACATATAATAAAATGTTACTGAGTTCAATCTGTACATTAATTTTTTTTGGAAAATTAAATTAACATTAAAATTATTGAAATAGTCATTATTATCGACACAGAGGCCGAACCTATAGTTTTTAGGAATGTTTGTCTGTCTGTCTGGGAACGTATCACGACAGATTTTGATTAAATTTGGTATGATGACAGCTGGTTATCCGGGATAAGATATAGTTACTTTTTACTGCGGGAAAATATCTCATGTCTGAGAAATCTATACTAAACGTAAGTAGGGATGAACCCGAGCGGAGCGATGGGTGAATCGCTAATTATTGAAGTAATAACAGTAACAGTTTAGTGCCACCTGAAAAGTGCACCAAAATGGATTTAGCCAACATATTATGGTATCGATATATATATATATATATATATATATATATATATATATATATATATATATAAACAAAATGGTTTGCTTCAGCTTATTACATTTAAATATTCGCAAGAAAAACCGAATAAATCTTGGCCATAAAGATAGCAAAAACGATAACAGCGAGGAGATAAATGGTCTCTCGCGACGGCAAAGATTAAGCGAAAAAACGATTAACGGTCTTTGAAGTGTCTTGACTTTAATAATGAAAGATTTATATGTATTCCAACTATATAACATTTCAGAAATGTGACATGTGGCTTATGCGTGTTTGTACTATACGAAAGTGATTCTGTTCCTTCTGGTTGAGTGGTTCTGGACTACATACTCGTAAATCTATACTAATATTATAAAGAGGAAAGATTTGATTTTTTGTTTATTTGTTTGTTTGTACCAAATAGGATCCTAAACTACTGAACCGATTTAGATGAAATTTGGGAAGATAGTTTGAGAACCTGAGAAGAACATAGGATAGTTTTTTCCCGGAAATCATTCTTTAAGAGGGTGAAAATGGGGATGAAAATTTGTATGGGGAAGCAACCTAGGGACGAACCATAGCGAAGCGAGGTATAGGAATAAATCGCTAGTACATATGAAGGAATTTGTATTACGATGGGGGTACGTTTTAGTTGGTTTAGATTTTTTACAAACTTGGGATTGAAAACTGTCATTATAGTTCTATCATAAATGAGTAAGTTTTTGTAATTGTACGACTTTGTGTATGTGTATTTGTAACTTTTTTACGCCGGAACGGCTGGATCTATTCTGGTTAAATTTGGTATGCAGATAGACTATGTATGAGCTAGATCTAGGTAACTCCTAGGTGTTATCTAGGTAGCCTATAAATACAATTAAAATACATATAATAATAGCCTAATATGTACAATTATATTTTCCCAAAGTTGACTCTTAGGTGAATCTTATATTTTAGAATGAGCGTGTAACAATAATTTAGGTTTTACAACAAATCATATTTTATTATTGTATGAAATTCTATATACCGCCTAGCCGAATCAACGTGAAGAAGTAAAAGACATACATACACAAATACAAATTTTCGCAATTATAATTATTAGTAGTCCCACATAAAGAAAAGTCAATGTTTTTGAATCACTTTCCAAAAGGGACCATTTTCAGTTCATTTTTCCATCATTATGGACGAATTTGGGCAAAACGACTGTAAGTCGCTTACACTGTGTATTCAGCATTTTTATCGTGCGATTGCTGGACATGGACTCCCTTCAATATAAACGGGATTATGCCATAGCCCACCACACCAGCCTAGTGCGGGTTGGCGGACTTCATGTATTTTTGAAAACTTGCTAAGTTCTCTCAGACATGTAGATTTCCTCACGATGTTTTCCTTCACCGTTGAGACAAGTGCTAATCATTTATTATTACACTCTATTAATTTAAAATTATCTATATACTTGGCAAGGAAAAAAAAACATACATAGTATGATATGTTCGTTGTAATAAATTTACAAATTAATATGCTAATTAGTTTCCGTGCTGTTAGAAAACGCTACAACTTTGGTAATAGATATAATATATATGATGTGTATAACAAACATATTTTTTAACATTTAGTGTTAAAATTAACATATTGTACCGGTTTTATGTGGATTTGACCTTTGTTAAATGAATATTTAACGTACGCCGAGAACATGCATCTAACACATGTACATACCTATTATAATATGAAATTTTATTTCATGAGTATTTTTCCTACTTTATATTCTACAAGCGACACTAGTTGCCTATCTAGATGTGTGTTAGTACACGTCGTAGTCGATATTAAAAACTAGCACAACCCGCGGCTTCGCTCGAGCTAAAACTACAAAAAAAGCTCTAAAAAGGTAGGTTTCATAGAAACTTTCATCCCTTATTTTACCCACTTAGGGGTTGAATTTTAGAAAACGCTGAAATATGTAACTCATTATCACCTGAACGCGGGCGGAGCCGCAGGCAATGCTAGTATACATACCTACTAGAATTACTTCATGAAATTTTTGTAAACAAAAATCGATAAAAAATGTGATTATTATAATAATTAGAAGTTTAATGAGAAAACTGATTAGCGAATACGTAAAATAATAGAAATGAAAATACGAAATTCTATTTTTTCAATTGAATTCTCTCGTTATGGCTTCAAACCGTGCCAGTTAAGCACAGATTATTCCGCCAATGTCACGTAGAATGGAGATGATACGAAGGAGATTGGTCGTGTAAGCAGAATTTACAAAGTCAAATATTTCTAAACTGCATTCAATATAGGTATATATAGTACTAGCGACTCAACCTCGCTACGCTCGGGTTTGTCCCGACTTTTTAACTCCGTTTTAACATTTAGTATAGCTTTCTCAGAGATAAAATATTTTCCCGCAGTAAAAAGTATCCTATATGTTGACCCGAAAAACCAGCTATCATCACAATCTCACACATCACAAAATTTCATAAAAATCCCTCCAGTGGTTTTTCCGTCACAGATTGACAGACAGACAGACAAAAATTCTAAAAACTATAGATTCGGCCTCTGTATCAATAATAATGTCTATTTCAATAAGATTTTCCAAAAAATATTCAATGTACAGATTCGGCTCAGTTACAAT